CCGAGCTCCCCGGCGAGCAGATGGTGTTCGGGTGGGCCGCGCCCGGCGCTCCCCTCAACTCCAACCTGATCAACGTCATCGGGGCGAGGCCGTACAATCTGTCGGTGCTCCAGATCAGCAGCGCCATCCTGCCGTCCGGAGCCGGGAGCGCAGCGCCGGCGACAACAAAGCCGGCCGCCGCCTCCCCGAAAGCGTCGGCTGCGCCACCGACGACGAAGCCATCGGACGACATCCCAGAGGCAACGGCTACAGCGAACACGACTACTCCCGCCGCCCCTGTGGCAGCTCCAAAGGCTGCTCCGACCACCCAGGCGGAGGCCCCGAAAACGAGCCCCGCCGCTCCCGCGACACCTCCAAAGTCCTCGAGCACCACCACAGCTGCCTTGGCACCGAAGTCGAGCTCCGCAACCGCACCAGCTCCAACGAGCGGCGGCGCCACCCCTACCCCTTCGGCGGCTCCAAAGAGCAGCCCTGCCGCACCCGCCACGACCGCAAAGGCTCCCAAAGCTAGCTCCACCACTCCAGTCGGAACTCCGAAGGCTTCTACGCCGGCCTCCTCTGCTGCTCCAAAGGCCAGCGCCGCATCCCCCGTCGAGGGTCCAAGTGCGAGCGCCGCGGTCGACGCTCCCAAGGGAAGCGCAGGTGCACCATCTGCAAGTGTCGCATCACCTTCCTCGCCCACGGCAGATTCAGAAGGAACTTCTGGTCCGGCCGCGGAGACGACGACACCAAGCTCTTCAGCAGGGCGGGTCGTGGCAGGCGCGGCACTTGGGCTCCTCGTGGGTGCTGCTGTGCTCGGTGCCATTTGAACGTCGGAGGTTTGGAAGGCAAAGGTCATATTGGTTCACCCTTGTCGTCTTTCATTGGTCCCCTTCATGCGCCTGCCTGCATGGTAGGAGGCATGTTATCCATTGTGTCTGCAAGGAAGGCTGTTGAACAAGGAAATATATATACAGGGTTTGGTTGATGGATGGATCATATGGATGATATTTTACTTCACCTCTATCTGTCACACAGGTCGATACAATATAATTCGGATTGATTAAGTCGTAAGTGAGAGAGATTCATACAGTTCGATTAGCACTTCTTCCATCAATACCATCAGAATGGGCCAACACATTTGACAAAATCACTTCTTGCACTTGTTTTCATCGTATCAAAACATCAAGATCAATATTAAAACTATAAATATTTTCTGTAATTATTTAGATTTGAAGAATCTTCAACATCATGCAATAATTATTTTATTATTAATGTGAAAATAAAAACTTCTTAAAATTCATCGTTATTCTAATCATAATCTTTCTACGATATTTTTACTTGGAGTATTAACAAGGTCTTGTTTAATACTCTCGATTTAATCTCATATCGGAAGTAAATTAAAATTTTTAGTCGGAATCAATTAGTAATGGACATAGTAAAAGGCTTGACAAATAATACTATAATTTGTTGTTATTATTGTAATAATAAAATCTCCTGATAATATAAAGAGAAGTTTGAAATTCATCACCATGTCTTCCGATTGCAATCCTAATATAAAGAGAGGCTTTCTAATACTCAAAAGTAAATTAGAATTTAGATTAACATATAAGAATATAATGAATATAATATTATTAAATTTTATCTAAATTGTGATAATTTGATTGGTCTTGTATCGATGTACTTAGTATTTTAACTAATGATTTAGGTCAAATAAAATTGATGAATCAATCTATTAGGTCGGATCATAATATTTAATATTAAAATTGACTTAGTATTGTAATAAAGTGAGAGGACTAAGATAGAAAAAAATATTATAACATCCTATTAATCGTACGGACAAGATTAAAATTGACTTATAATGATGATGAATATATTATAATAATGATCGAGTCATGACATAAATATTTTAAAAGTTTTAACAAAGATAATAAATCAATTATCACATTAGATTAGGTTGTGATGATTAAAATCAGAATCAACTTATAATATTCAATTTATTTTATTATTACTGTGAAAATGAAACCTCTTGAAGAGTTTGGAATTCATCAGCTTTCTAATTCTAATATGTTGGTCATAGTATATTAAAGTTTGTAAACTCTAATAAAATTATAATACTTTATTACAATATCATTTTAGTACTTTTGATTTAGAAAGTGAGTTAAAATTTAGGCTCACTTATAAAAATATAATCAATGTAATAGTATTAATTTTAATTTAACAAAGTTAACATATGAAAGATCAATTATCACATTAGATTAGGTTGCGATGACTCATCATCAGAATCAATCTAATATTAGACATAGTAAAAGGCTCTGCCAATAATACTATAATTATTTTATTATTAAAATAAAAAATAAAATCTCTTGATAATTTTGTGAGGAGTTTAAAATTCATCATTATTCTAATCCTAATATGTCCGTCTATTCGAGTTTATAAACTCTAGTAAAACTCTAATACTTTATTATGATATTATTTTACTTTGATGATTGAAGAGATATTGTAATACTCTTGATTTAGTCTCATATTGAAAGGAAGTTTAAAATGAGTATAATATTATTAATTTTAATTTAATTATTTTTTAAAAAATACTAAATTTAATAAAATGATAATCTCATTAGGTTAGGTTATGATGAGTAGAATCAGAATCAACTTAATATTACGTATGTATAGTATAAGGCTCGACCTAAAGATCATTATCTCATTAGATTAAGTTGTCATGTATGCCATGTTATCCTTTGATTTCGAACAAAATTGGCCCTAAACAAGGGAGATCGTAACACCTATCTAAGTGGATTTAACTTGTAAGTTTGATTTGCAGCTGGGTCAACATTTTCCGAAGGACCGCAACAATACGTTGACCGGTCTCCCTCCAAATTTGGCGGGACGAGAGATCCAAATATAGAAAGCATTCCAACTGCCCCAACTGAAATCCTCCTCGACTTCTATAAATCTTCCTCATCTCCCCCCCCTTCTTCCTGTGAAGTCACCCAAATACTCCTCCTCCTCCTCCTCCTCCCACAATGGCTTCGAGCCCCCAACTCTCCCTCCTCCTCGTCTTCGTCTCCTTCCTCGTCCTGCTCTCCTCCGCCACCGCCCACAACATCACCCGCCTCCTCTCCCAATTCCCCGACTTCTCCAACTTCAACTCTCTCCTCAGCCAGGCCGACATCGCCTCTGAGGTCAACCGCCGCCAGACCATCACCGTCCTCGCGGTCGACAACTCCGCGGCCTCCTCCCTCTCCAGCCTCGACTCCGACACGCTCAAGCAGGTCCTCTCCATCCACGTCATCCTCGACTACTACGACAAAGAGAAGATCCACAACCTCAAGCGCCGGTCCACCCTGTTCACCACCCTATTCCAGACCACCGGCGTCGCCGCCAACCGCATGGGGTTCCTCAACGCCACCAAGCTGTCGGACGGGCGGCTTGCCTTCGGGTCGGGGGTACCCGGGTCGCCGCTAGTGGCCACCTACGTCAAGTCCGTCGCCGCCAAGCCGTACAACCTCTCGGTTCTCCAAATCAGCGCCGTCATCGTCCCGCAGGGCATCAACGGCACGCCGCTGGCGCCTTTCGGCGCTCCAATAACAGCGCCACCGGAGGTGCCGGTGCCTGCACCGGCGCCCGTGGACGATTCGACGGCTGACAGTCCGGCGGAGGCCCCCGAGGCGAGCGCCCCTGAGCCAGCGGCAGACGCACCGGAAGCAGACGCACCGGATGCGGATTCGCCGGCTGCCGGACCTGCAGCAGACGGAGATGCACCGTCTCCTGCGGAGGGGGAGGAGGATCAGAAATCGGCAGCAGTTCCAGTGGCGGGTTGCATCAGCGTGGGACTCACCGTGGCGGGCGCCCTATTCTTTGCCGTATGAATTGTTGGCTGCTTGGGAGGACGTCAGGGGTTATAAGCTAAATGGTCTGCCGCAGGGTTTGAAGGAATCCATTGCTTTCTTGCTTCATTCTAACTGTAATAATTGGGTTTGGAGGAGTATATTTATCATTATCTTCATCTCTATGGTTTCATGTTATATATATATATATATATACATAACAAATAAATAATAAAATTACACCATAAAATAACATAAAGTAGTGCGCATCCGGGGAATCGAACCCCGGTCAGTACCGTGGGAGGGTACTATGATACCACTACACCAGATGCGCTTGTTGGTGTTAAGTTATATATGCCTTTTTTATGTGCATTTTCCATGTGGTTCTATGACTCCGCGATCCGTGAGGGGGCTTTGATTTTGTTTCAAACCGTTGGATAAGGTGACCAAGCGTTCGATCGGTTGCGTGCTTGCTTATCTCAAAGATATTTGGGCCTATATAACAATTAATACGGCCTAATTTTACTGGGCTGAGTAAGGCCCAATATGATACCCTCATCAACACCTCTGCGAACCATTCCTCGACGGAGAAGGCGGAGTCGTTATGTTTCCTGGAATCGAACCCTTAAACCCCCTCCTCCTTCCGGCCCAGAAGCTCACCCTCGGCTGCCCCGTCCTCGACCGGCTCCTCCGCGGCGGCCTCCCCGTCGGTTCCGTCACCGAGATCGCCGGCGAGAGTGCCGCCGGCAAGACCCAGCTCTGCCTCCAGCTCCTCCTCGCAGCCCTCCTCCCCCCCTCCCGCGGCGGCCTCTCCGCCGCCTCCCTCTTCATCCACTCCGAGTTCCCGTTCCCGATTCGCCGCCTCCACGCCCTCTCCTCGTCGTCCTCGGCCGCCGACCCTCTCGGCCACATCTTCGTCGCCGCCGCCCACTCCCCCGACGACCTCCTATCCCTCCTCGCCACCGCCGACGGCCTCCTCGCTCGTCCCCCCACCCACCTCCCCGTCAGGCTCATCGTGGTCGACTCCATCGCTGCCCTCTTCCGCTCCGACTTCGATAATAACCCTAAAGACCTAAAGAAGCGATCCTTCCTGTTCTTCAAGATCGCAGCCAAGCTCAAGGAGCAAGCAAGGCGATTCGGGTCGGTGGCGGTCGTGACCAACCAGGTCGTCGATGTCGTCGGCTCCGAGGAAGGAGCCAATGGGCAGAGGGTGGGGAATTACGCTTCTCTGTGGTCTTCGGGGAGGCGGGTTTGCCCGGCTTTAGGGCTCTCTTGGGCGAATTGCGTAAATACTAGACTCTTCTTATCGAGGAAGGACGAGATTGCGGACGACGCTGGCTCATCGAGAACTAGGAGGTGGATGCAGGTTGTGTTTGCGCCACACTTGCCCGAGGCTTCTTGCGAGTTTGTGATCGTCAGAGAAGGGGTGTCTGGTATCGAGCCGCAAAGGTGAGATCTTTTGTGATAGATACTATGGCATTAGCTTTGGTAATTTAAAGTTGGTTTTTGATTCCTCTGTCAGTATATCCTTCTTTATCTTGAACAGTCCTTTCATCTATATTGCCAATATCGGTATTGATGTTCTTCATACTATTCATTGATTCTTTCCAGATGGTAGAGGGAGATATAGTTTATCAAATTAATGAAATCTAATTAACTTGTTTTTTTCTAGGTTTTTTATTGTAGTCATAACAATGGTCATCTACTTGATGCTTGTATAACCTTAAAGCTCAAAGCACATTCTACAACTTAGTTCCTATCATGGTTCCTGGAGTTGAATAAATTTTGGTAGCATCTGATACACTTTTATTGGTTCCTTCTTTTGATTTTAGAGCATTGAATGAAAAAGAGATCCAAGACCAGGAATTGAATGGCAATGTTTAAAATTGAACAAGCTATGTCAGAATAAACTCAAATAACTGGAGAAATTTGAATCAAGATGGCAATATCTTAATATTTCTAACGATGCCTGGTTCGACCTAGTTTTAATTTGGTCGTAAGTTTTCACTGATGTTTGAGCAAGATATGGATTAAGGCAAACATGATGAATTTATGTGCATGTCTGAGTAAATAGGAAATTAGATTGTCCGAGTCTAGTGTTTCAAAATTTAAACTTTGTTGATAGTTTAATGAGTATACACTGCTTAGTGGTCCTCAAGCCAGCTTACTTACTGGTTAAAGGACATAATAACATCTTTAATGCAAACGATGGATAGTGCTAGTAAACTACCTGAAGCACAAGACAATTTGAGGGATTATCTCACAGCGTAGTTTTAGTTTCTTCTGTGTATTGATGTTATAAGGCCGTGGTCTCAAATATGTAGTTTAGACAATTTGATTATTTTGATAAATGACAAATATCCATCGACTCTACAATTTTGGTTCAGTTTGGATGATTTTATATTGTGCTAAACCAAACTCAACCGTTCCAGAAGCTATTTCGTTTAAACAAGACTTAAGAAAACCAGCATAAACTTGTGATCATTTTATGAAAAGAATCTTGCTGCATGGTCTTATGTTGGTCTAAAATGTATAATGCAACATTTAAATTTCCATATCTATCTATATAAAATGCAAGCATCCATCTCTGTTTTCAATGAAGTTTCTCTGTCTACAAAATGTTACAACTTATTTCCTTCTTCTTTGGAAAGTTATGTTTCATTTATGAAAGACATCCTAGTTTTGCCTCCAACTGCTTGTATGGTTGTCGACATTAATGTACCATATAAGATCTTTACTGCTTCCAAAGGGCTGCCCCTCTTATCATAAATCATCATGGTTCCCAAGTCATCAAATACATTATTGGTAGCAAACTTATTTTGTCTTCTTTCTTTAACTGGCCTTAGATCTTCCACAAATGTGAGCAATATGCTATACTTGTCTTATAAAATATCATGGAAGGCACTCATTTATTTTACCTAGGGGGCAGTTTGGACTACTGATTTGGTAGCCAACCTAGCTAGGGAGGAGTATTTATCTCAAAAGGTTTTAGTTTGCCTTTTATGAAGTACATATGTAGTTGCATTCTTTTCATTTTGCAAATAAGAAACAAAAATATGTTCTATATTACTTGTTGATAATATATTTGCACTGGATTATTTAGCCTTGAATATCTCAAACATTGCTTGGGCCACGCTAATGCACTTGTGGTTTAAGGCATATGTTATTTATACTGCTAAAATATCTGCTCTTATGGTTGAAGTTTGATATCAGACTGACCTATCATTAAACATAGTGAGGAAAAGATTTGTAGGCACATCATAATGGGGAGGACTAAAGTAGGAAAATTACGACATATTGGTCCATATCAAAGGTGGAAGAAGAATTTTATGAGAAATTGCTGTGTATTAGCATTAATGTGAACTTAAAGTATTTTGGATCATAGAATCATATTGAAGTAGTCGATGACATCGTTCTGCAAGAAAGATAGAAGTCATATTTACTCTAGTTGTGATTAATTAAATGAAGATTCTATGATTACAAAAATCCATTGAGGCCACTCGATAGATCCTCAACCACCTCTGCTCTCCTACTAAATTAATCCTGGTTTTACAGAGTCGCCGGACGATGATAGCCGGACTTGCCACCAGCAAAAGTCTTGCCATGACATCTCTGGATCTGACCTCCATCGCATTACAAGGATTTGGCAGTGCGTTAGGTCCTCCCCAACTCCATGAGACGACGATGACTGGAACGCCTTGTACGTCTCTATTAGTAGTCAGAACTCAAAAAGGTATACCCATCGAAGACTGCAGCAAAGACCTAACCAATTTGGAATGCTGCTGCTAATTACACTCCTCAGCGTTTTTGTAGGGGAAAGCTAATCCGTCTGCCAACTGGTCGGTGAATAAGTTCGGCAGCATTCCCTTCTCCAAGTGATGTTTGTCCCAACGCCAACCATATATACATATAGGGGCAGTCGAACCTTTGTAGATCCGTTGGGCTTCCTCGGCAAGCCATGACGAAGCCATCCCTGCAAACTTGTTCCTCCAACATCTCCTTCGTCCTCCTCTCGGCAGCCATGATATCTCTCGTCTTCTTCGTCATCTACCCCAATGAGTTCCGGCTCCAGTCCATGGTCACTTCCCGGCCCTCCTCGCTAACAAACTTCATGGAGACCGTGTCCCTGAAGCCTGACTTCCGTCTCCTCGTCGGCATCCTCACCCTCCCGGACAGCTACGAGCGGCGGCACCTCGTCCGCCACGCCTATGCCCTGCAGTCCAACGTCTCCGATGCCCGAATCGATGTTCGTTTTGTCTTCTGCAACCTCACCAAGGAGGAGCAGCGAGTGCTGGTGGCCATGGAGATCATGATCTATAATGATATCATCATCCTCAACTGCACCGAGAACATGGACAACGGCAAGACCTACACCTACTTCTCCAGCCTCCCGAAGATCCTCGAGGGCATCAACGGCATTGAGCGGCCGTACGACTACGTCATGAAGACGGACGACGACACCTACTTCCGGCTTCAGAACTTGGCGGAATCGTTAAGGAGGCTGCCGAGGGAGGACATGTACTACGGCTTTTTAACTCCCTGCCATGACCGGGGAGCTCCGAACAGCTACATGTCGGGAATGGGATATGTCTTGTCGTGGGATTTGGTGGAGTGGATTGCGACGTCGGAGATGCCGAGGGATCATCAGGTTGGGCCGGAGGACTTGGTGACGGGGTCGTGGCTGAGAGCCGGAGGTCGGGGGAAGAACAGGTTCGACATGAAGTTGGCGATGTACGACTACATGGAGGAGCCACGACTGTGCTCTCGGCATGAGTTCGTGCCGGACACCATCGCCGTGCACAAGCTCAAGAACAACTTGAGGTGGGCGACGACCCTCAAGTACTTCAACGCCGCTGAGGGGCTGAAGCCTTCTAAGCTGTATCATTTATAGACCTTCCAAGGTTTTTCCCCTCTCTGTGTTGTCTTACGCATGACCAAAGCAATGGTAGGAACAAGCGGGTGCACAGAGACTGGTCTGCTCCATCCATCCCATATGGACGGATGATCTATATCTGTTGAGGTGAACCTGTGTCATCATCAACAATGTATTTGTGGGTTTCTTTTCCCATGGAATTAAGAGGCTTAGTTAATTCGTAGAGGCTTTTATAAGGAAGATGTATTATGGTTTCATCTGCAAGCAACAATTTAGCCTCGAGTGCACTGCAAACATCTCTCTCTCTCTCTCTCTCTCTCTCGTATTGGAAACGATTCGGTCTGTTGCCACCATCCTACATAATTGGACCAAAGAAAGTCCAAGTGATTAAGCCTTCAGATCTGACAGTGTGTTCCGTGTCACATCTCCTCTGCTCTCTCACTGAAACTTCGCCCTTCTTCTCCGCCTTGGATTCACGCGTTTTGCGGGATACTGACGCATGACCAATGTGCGCAAAGGTCAGCTGTGCCTTTGCACCAAACCTGAGACCTCTGCTTCATGCCCTTTCGTTTCTCCTCACGTAGAAGTCCGAGTCTATGTGCTGTACTTGTTCTCTTTGCCGGCTAGTGCAGCTTTAAGTCTCCGCCTACTCGCTGCATGTGCCAACCGCATCGCTGTAGCCATGAAAGCCACCCTGCACAAGCCGCCTCCTGCCGCTGTTGGACTCGTCTGCCTCGCCGTCGTCCTGCTAGCCTTCGTCTACCACGTCATCTACCCGAAGGAGTTCGAGCTGCAGTCGTTCGTCACCGCCTGCCGCCCCTCCTCCTCCGCGGTTGCGGTCAGCTTCACCGAGCCCGTCACGGTGGAACCCGACTTCCGCCTCCTCCTCGGCGTCCTCACCCGCGCCGACCTGTACGAGCGCCGCCACCTCCTCCGCCTCGTTTACTCGCTCCAGACCAACCTCACCGCCCACGTCGACGTCCGCTTCGTCCTCTGCAACCTGACCAAGGAGGAGCAGCGGGTGCTGGTGGCCATGGAGATCATGCGCTACGACGACATCATCATCCTCAACTGCACCGAGAACATGAACGAGGGCAAGACCTACGCGTATTTTGCCAGCCTCCCGAAGCTGTTCGACGGGGACCGGCCGCCTTAGGACTTCGTGGTCAAGGCGGACGACGACATCTACTTCCGGCTCCCCAAACTGATCGAGTCGCTGAAGAAGATGCCGAGGGAGTTCCTGTACTACGGCTTCGTGATCCCCTGCGACAGCATGGATCCATTCCACGAGTACATGCCGGGGATGAGGTACCACAGCTCTTATGGGACTTGGTGGAGTGGATCTCGATGGATTTATGAGCTTCAAAAACAAATACTTTTAGAATAAAAGAGATCCGATGGATTTAGAGTTCTTGGTTCTCATACTCCTTAAACAATATGGGACTAAATGATTTTATCAATATAAATATTAAAATAAAAATAACAACATAAAAATTGTGACGCAAGATGCATTCATTTATACACATCGGACAATCTACGAAGCCATACGTTATAATCCAAGGAGGGAAAGGTCACGTTGCTTAGCCATTTGGAACAGTTAAATTAGGTTTTTAAGCTATAATTTCAAGTGGCCCCCATCGTATAAAAAAGGATTAGATCAGCTTCCTGTTGAATGAGAATGAGTTTAATGTATGAATCTTTTGGCCTCTTGTTGGAGAAACATTAATATTAATATCCAATAATAAACATTAATATTAATGGATCATGTTGGGCCAATATAATTTCAAATGTAATTCCAAACATACCCTATGTGCTTATTACAATTTGCTTATATTTTCTTTCTCGAATAGACTAATTAATTGATGATTATTTGTCAAGATGAAGTCCCAAATATCCTCTTTTAAGTGAGATTTTTCTCTTGAACTAATACAATAAATGTTTGCAATTAATTGGATTCTCTTTTGAACTTTTATCCTAAAGAACTTTGGACTGAGATTTGCAAGCTTTTATTCTTGACATTGACTTGGCAATCCTCATAGCTACGGGTGCTAATCCTCTCTCTCTCTCTCTCTCTCCATTATTGAAGTAGTCAAAGAAGAATAAAAGGACCATTTGCAAACATGTCATTCTATAGATTGATTCCTTGGACATGGTTCACATCACCAAGAACCAAATAAAGATATCTCTCTCTCTTTCTCTCTCTCTTTCTCTGAGACATAGTTCACAAATGATTACTTATTTTAGTAATTTAAAGGAAAACAAATAACCTAAAGGATTTCCTTGCAAACAAATTTAAAGAAAAATCATCCAAAAGGACAAAAGAATGGTGCATGAACAAGCAATGCACAATGTTCCACAAAGTTTTCAGTCGTCGAGTGGAGTTAAGAGCCTTCATATATGCCATGCACACATATCAACAAATTGGTGCTGCTTTTGACTGGAATCGGTAGAACAAAGAAAGGAAGGGAGGAAACAAATTCCAGGTCTAGAAGTCTTAGACAAAGTGGTGAGTACTACTTGACTTCCTTCTGCATGGCTTTTGACACTGTGTATGACGTTACTTGTGCTTTCTTGAGGGTGGAAGTTTTCCAAGATCCTACACTCTCGAGGGTTTGAAATCTACTCCACCTCTTAGTCGTCTAAGGAAAGAGACATTGGATTACCAACGCACCATGGCTTCATTTGGAGCTCAAGCAATGCTCTGCGATAGCTTTGTCTTTATTCTTATACATGGTTTTACCTTTCGGTAGCCAAATTCTTATATGACATGGGATGTACGTGGGTGTTATAATCTTTTTCATTTATGACTTACATTTTTATCGGACCTTAATATAATATATTTATAAATATTTCTTTTCTACTTGAGTTTATCATTATACTCGCAATAGCTCATGATATAATTACGACATCATCAATCAATCGCTATAATCATTTTTTCACTCAATTTCTCACTATATTCATTGATTGATTATCGTTTTATACTTGTGCCTTGTATATATATATATATATATATATATATAATATCAATGTATATCGGACAATATCATTTCGAATAGTAGATCGATATTATCATTTATCATGATGATGAGATAAATAAGTCAGCAACTTGAGCTTAAATCATTGATTCAAAATATCTAAAATTAACAATAATAGATTCACGTAATTATAATTTTTCTCCATGTCCATTAAATAATAATAAAAATAAATAATAATAAAATAGAATATAATGCATGTGACTACCTCGACTTAAGGTTATCAAAGTGCGCAATCCACTGAGATGAGGATATAATTCCTTATTATTTTGCCACGTGGAGTGGTGTAAGTTTCTACCTTGTACCTTAGCAGTGCACACCGAAACCCTTGAATGCTTCAAATGCTAGAAGCCAATCAGGTCCATCAAACCTCATCTCCTTGATTCCCCTCCATATTTCCAGTTCACTCTCTTCTGGTCTCCCTTGTGCTTATCCCCACAGCCTCTTCTGCAGCCCCGAGAGTTCTCATTGCTCGTGCCAAAGTTATCTGTCTCAGATTCCAAACACTGGGCGAAGACAAGGGAGAAATCCCCGCATCCACTTCCCCTTTACGCTGCCTACTCACATCTAATCCTCCCCACTTGACATAATTAATCCTACCACCATCAAAGTGAGGACTGCCTTTTGGGGTGTCCAACTTTATCTTTTGGAAAGGTGTTACCGCTCTTTCTTGCTCCCTCCTCAATGTCAAAAGCACAAATGGAGGTCAATGCGAGGCTTTCTCTTGCTGCCTTGTTGTTCATCTCCTGCTACCATCCCCATCCACTTGTCCAACGTAGAGATGGAGACAGCATTTCTACTGCTACCAGAATACTGAGGACTTGTGGGGTGGGAGGGGAGTCTTCGGCGGCCTGTCTTATCCTTTCGATTAGCTATGTAGTCTTTGAAATCAATGCTCGGTATTAGATTAGATAGTTGGATAATTGGCTAATTATGAGGAGTTGTTGAGGATCATTGTGAGTGGGAGACAGTCCCTTTGTTGACCTTCATTTCAAGCTATTACTGTGGAAAGTGAACACATAAAGTTGTGTGGTGGGGTTAGGGTATCTTGAATCAGTTGTCCCTGTACACATTTCTTCCTTCATGGGAGCCTATCAAACATGAAAACATTTCAATTATCATAACCAAAAGCTGGCCTGCAACAATGATTCTTAACCAATGGGGTACCATATATGTGCATGTAGTGTGAATAAACAGACCAAGTGTAGGATTGATGTGCATCTTCATTATACAAGTGTATGATGCAAATGCACACTGTATGTAAACTGAGACATAGCAGTGACTATGTATCTCCATGATCAAAGCTGGTGGGAAATCCAAGTCTTTCGGGTCTTCCTTTTGACCTCGTGACACAATGACTGCTTCTCGAGATTAGGCTGTGATGGCAGGCCAAGTCAAGTCAAATATTTGTTGCTAGAGAATAAGCAGTGTAATGCTCCTATGACGGACTTTGTCGATCTTACAAAGATTTGGAATATCCAGAGTTCTATCAGCAAAAGATATCTAAGCCTATGGAAGAGAGGCCACGCATTGAAAAGAGATCTATAAGAGTGGCTAAAAGCAGTCAGTAAAGTAAAACCTAGACAAGAGTTCAACAGCAGCCTTGTCGTATAATAAGCATCACCATCAAATCAGTCCATCTTTCTCTCCCGGTGTCTTCCTATATAGCTCGGTCTCCTCTCGCTTGGCTGTTCTCCACCTAAGACGAGGACCTCAAGGCCTGTTGTTTGGGTTATTGTCTACAGATAGAGATAGATAGAGAGAGAGAGAGAGATGGGGAGGGCTCCGTGCTGCGACAAAGCTAACGTGAAGAAGGGACCATGGTCGCCGGAGGAGGATACGATACTCAAGGCTTATATTGAAGAGCATGGAACTGGTGGTAACTGGATTGCGTTGCCTCATAAGATCGGTTAGTCCTCGATTCAAGCTCTTCCGGATCATTCATTTGCTGCTTAGATACATGTGTTTTCTTCTTTGTTGAACTCCGGAAGAAGATTCTGCCTGGATCTTCTTCTAAGATGGTTCAGGAGAAGGTTCAAACGTACATCTTGCAGGGATGTTCTCTATAGAGAGATTACTAGGTTACGTTCAGGAGTCTTGGGGAATAGGAGCTGAGATTAAGGAGCTACGTATGGATAAACGTTGCTGAAAATTATTAGAGTTGTAGCTGATCGAGTGTTGGTGTTTGTGGCAGGGCTGAAGAGGTGTGGGAAGAGTTGCAGGCTGAGATGGCTGAATTATCTGAGGCCTAACATCAAACATGGCGACTTCTCTGAAGAGGAAGACTTCATCATTTGTAGTCTCTTCATAAGCATTGGGAGCAGGTAAATCTTACCCCTCTCTCTCTCTCTCTCTCTCTCTCTCTCTCTCTC